ACAGACAACCTCTCGTCAATATGCGTTTTTTGCATTGCATAACTGCAAAAAACGCATAAAAATTGAGTATTAAGGCCGTGATAACAATTTAATACCATATAAAATTTTGTGACAGGGAATTTTAGTGATGCTATAGAAAACGTATCACGGTGCGTTTGTTTTTATGAAGCCTTCCATTCCCTGTACCGTTTCAAGCTATGGCAAATTTTAGATTGTTTGTGGGCAATCACCTACTTAACTGCTCTTGAAGCAATTCCTCTTTCCAGTGATATTTTATATTAAGCTTTGCGCAATCTGCTTAAGTCTAAGTTACCTCTTTATAGGCGATTTCTCATAATGGGCTTTTTGTCTGTCTCGCCCTTTTCGTAGACTGTCTCACAAAATTTTATGTGCCGCCATATGTTCAGCAAACAAAGACAGCTAACAAAATGACAGCCGAAGTTGGAAGGAAGAGTTTAATTAGGTGCAGGTGGTTGTTCACCCCACGCGAAACCTCCCGGTCGCTGATCAACCTCAACAGGTTCCACTGGAGCTGGATCGATAAGCCATTTCAGCAGCTGCGGTGTCTCCAGAACACGAAAGCCATTTTGTTGCTGTGGGAAAACATCTTCCAGAAAGAAATAAAAATGGCCACATGCGATGCCTGAAAGATGCGCTCACTGTACTTTACATTATTTAATAAGAAAAAATTCAAAAAAAGACGCGAATGCTCGGCACGATCCGTAACGGTAGGTATGATTTACGAATCAGCTTACTCCAAAGGAGTCAAAAATTACTGTCTTGGAACCAGTTATTTTGTGGTCGATTTGCAAAATTCCTATACTCACGAAAATTTTGAAGACTTTCCAATTCGGATGGAAACGTGTATTCGAGGTCAGTTTTCAAGCCAGAGCTCTACCCACATCCCGCTCGATGCGGAAAGCACTGACATTTCGGGCTTACGCAGTATCAGCAGTCCACCAAACGAAACTTAGCGAGAAAGGTTGTCGATGAAAACATTTGCGAATTGCTAAAATGCAAACTGATGGCAGTTTATGTGTTCTGGCACGAGCTGGCACCAATTTAGCACTGGAACGATTCAAATAAAAATTATACAGTAATTACTGATTCTTCATTGATGGAAATTGAAACCAAACAGATCGATAACACCACAACAGCGAGTTCGTCATTTTGAATTTCAAAGGGTCAAAAAAGAAGCAGGAAAAGTAACAGAAGAAAGAGTTGCGTTATGTGTGCAATACGTTGTTTCGGTCAGAAAAAAGTATCAAAATTCAAACCCATGAAATCAACGATAGCATTATTGCCGAGAAGCAATGAGAAGAGGAGCAAAACCCATGGAAGATAGGGTGCATTGAAGCTGAGCACGCCGAAGAAGTTCATACGCACGTACGGATTCCTTCTGCTCCAAACGTACACAAGCATTATGGTGAATGCTTGTCCAAGAAATACCATATGTACAAACGTGCCACAAATAATCTGTAAAATAACATAAACTTTTACATTTTTGGCACAATCTTGTTATTACAAATATCAAAAGTTAAATTCCTCTTCACAATTCTAGCTGGGCAAAAGAAACAAAACAGCCCAGCCGAAGCACGAGCGAACACTACGCATATATTGACAAGATCTCTCGTGGTGTTCTTTTTCCACATCCCCAGAAGTAATCTGATAGTGCTTTTAAACCATCGGTGTGCACCCGTGCCAATTCACCATTACAGCGCACCAACAAAAAGAGGAATTACCCCTTTTTCTACGAATAAAACCAAGCCATAAACCTTCCACTCAATCTCTACAAGGATTATTTGCCAATACATCAAGCCAGCCAACAAGACATCAAAGTTTTATGCGTTTTTTTGCATTTATGCTATGCAAAAACGCAAACTGTCTAAGGATTGTCTGTATGTATATATTTAGTCTGTGTTTTCGTTTGTACCAATTTTTTATCTAGAGATCTACAAAAAGCCACAAGGCTGAAACTTTGGTAACTTAATCTACATGCACATAAGGGCTCCAATCCCCAAAATAGGCGCTATTATATACGTGTTTCCCATGTGCGAGCCCGTCAAATTTTTTGGGCGCATAAGCCGCTAACCCGGGAACCAGAGAAGCCAGAAAGCTGAAATTTTAGAAGGAGGTTCTCCATCCGCATAAGTCGTAATGAGTTCAAACCCACTCCCCAGGTATGCGTAGTTCTCACGTACAGGCCCGCGAAATTTTCTGCGGATAAGTCGCTACCTTGGAAACCTGAAAAACCAGAAAGCTGGAATTTTAAAGGGATGCTCCCCATTCACGTACAATATAATGACTTCAAATTTGGCCCCCAGGTATGCGGTTCTGGCCATGAAATTTTTTCATGGACAAGAGGCTAACTCGGGAAACTGAAAAGCTGGAAGACTGGAATTTTAGGGAGATATTCCCGTCCACACAGACCTTAATAAGTTCAAACCCAGACCTCATATATGTGTAGTTCCCACATACGAGCCTTGAAAATTTTTTACAGGTAAGTTGCTAACTCGGAAACCTGAAAAGCCAGAAGGCCAAATTTTAAGAGGATTTTCTTGGCCCACGTAGAACCGAGTGACTTTATGCTCTATCCCCAGTTGTGCATGGTTCTCACGTACGGGCCGGTGAAATTTTTTGGCGGATAAGCCGCTAACTCGAGAACCAGAAAAGCTAGAAAGCTGAAAATTTAACGTGATGTTTTCAAACAATCCAGGTGGTCAATTTCAATTCTTTTTGCTAGAATATTTGCCGGAAAAACAGTGCGGTTAGCGACAAAAACCTGTGGGGAACTATGCAAAAAAATGCATCTTCGCACCGGCGGTCGGTACGCTGGCCATTTATTACTTATGCCATTCGATTTTAAGAACAATCGTAAATCGCACATCCCCAAACAGAGCAAAATATTTATGAATTGTCAGTCTACTCAACGAATTCATCGGTGCAGTCGCCACTCCGTCACTGTACTTACCATAAAAATAGCTCCATAGATGAACATGAATGCAAAATCGGCGCGTCGACCGCGGAATGAGCCTTCCTCGAGCATCATACAATAACGATATGTAAATATCATGTTGAACAAAAAGCTAAACCCGAAAGAACCGAAGAAACAAAATGACGTCAATAATCGCCAAAACTGAAACCAATTACTTTTCTGACTGTACCTTGGGGCAAAAACTCACTTCTTTATTACAATTTGACTTCCTTCAGCAAAATCTCAACTGCTTCAACGAAATCATGAATTGTAGGAAAGATTTTGCCGAGATATACCGAAGCGTTATAGGCACAACTATCCCAGTTAGTTCATTCCTGGGCTAGATGCATCAAGAATGTGTCGGTCCGCCTGGACTACGTTACCACTTAACTGGTCTCAACCTCCTCAAAATAACGATATTCATTCATATCAACTCATCGGATTCGGCTTCCTACACACATTTGCCGAATGTGAGCAGAATTTGAGGCAGGAAAGCTACACCCTCCAATCTGGAAAGTATTAGCTCTTTTGTTTTCGTCAGTGGTCATGATTCTCATTTGTAATTCAATGCTTTTTTGTACAAAACTACAAGATATTCCTTCCG